AAACCCTTCTGACAGCAGGCTGGGAAGTGCCTCTGCAGGCCGGTCAGTGCTAATTCCCAGAAGTCTTTCCCTTTGCCCTCCATTACCTGAATGGCAGAAAGCTCCTCTCTGCCTGCCTGAGTGTGGATTTGCCACACTAATATATATGGGTTTTTTTCTGCCTCCCTTGGCTTTTCCACGTGGGCATGGACGTGCAGGAATTCGATCTTAGTGGCCCACCCATGCCCTTCCCTCTCCCCTGCTGTCTCATCTTGGAACCCTATAATAAAAAATGGAAAACAAATTTTTAGCCAGAAAGCAATCTTGTCCTTCCTGGGTTATTTGCCAATTTCTAAAGAAGTGCAGAAGATCATAATCCTCTGAGATTCAACAGAAAGGACTAAAATTTTAGAATCTGTGACAAGCAACAGTCGATATACTTTTGAGAATAATCAGGAGCAGCACCCAGTGACACCAAGAGGAGGGGACAACCTGCCCGCCCTCCAGCCCAAAATGCATTCACCTTTGCTCTGTTGGGTAATGTAAATATTCAACTGCCTTCCATATCTAGGCTGGATGTTTGTGTTCTCCTGTCTTTGTGGCCTTGACATACCTGGCCCCAGCATGAAGGGTCCGTATTACAATATAACCTCCAGCAAAGCATGTGTGTTTGCTCATCGTTGTACAACTCTCTCAAAAAAGAATGTTTAATAAGCATTTACAAATTATTAATTATGACAGACACAATACAAAATTTACCTTCAAAATCACTTTATAGCTGGATAGTGTTAACCCCATTTACACTGTCATGCAATCAAACTCTAAAACTTTTCGTCTTGGAAAAGTGATACTCTCTACTTGTACCATCCCTGCCCTTTTCTTCTACTTCCCAGTCCTTGGCAGCCTTCGTTTTATTTTCTTCCTGAATTTGACCACTGTGGGAACCATAGGTAAATGGAATCATTGGAGGATTTGCTTTCCTATGACGAGCTTATTTCCCTTAGCATAATATCCGCCATGTTCCCTCATGCTTCAGCATTTCCTTCCTTTTGAAGACTAGATAATATTCCATTGTATGTATATATCACATTTTTGATTATACATTCATCTTCTGAAGGACATTTCAGTTGTTCATACCTTTTCCCTATTGTGATTTATGCTGCTACGGACATTGCTGCTTAGATATCTGTTTGAATTTATGTTTTCAGTTATTTTGGGCATATACCATGTAGCGGACTGCTGGATCATGTTAATCCTATGTTTAGTAAATTAAGGATAATAGTATTTTACAATGAAACTGAGAGCGTGAAATATAACTAGGTATACTATCATATTAGAATCTATTTCCTCACATATCTAGTGAGTTTCTCCCATGCACTTAGTGTTGTGTCTGATAGGACTTAGAACTTTAATTTTTTTTTTTTTTTGTCTTTTTTGTTTTTATCGGTACCGGGGATCGAACTCATGACTGCCTGCTTGCAAGGCAGGTGCTTATGCCACTGAGCTAAATCCCCAGCCCCTTTTTAAAAAATTTTTAAAAATTTTTTTTGGGCTTAGAACTTTGAAGATCCTTCTCATCTCATTAGAGTGTAACCTCTATGGGAATGGAGGATTTTTTCCTTTTTTTTTTTCTTCTTTATTATGGAATATGAAGAGTCTAAATAGTACCTGGCATTCATTCATTTTTTTGTTTGGTAAGTCCTTAATGAATAGCTAGTATGGATTAGGTACAAAATTGTTATGAAAGGGACCAAGAAAATCTGTTAAGAAATCAGTGTTGTCCATCAGCCTGGCTAATGGTTAGAGTTGAGGGAAGAGAACAACGGTCTTTCCCAACCACTTTGTGCCCCATCAGCTAAACATTAGTGGCTCTTTAACTCACAGAAAGGGAAAGAATAAATTTTGGACTGGAAGAGAGATGTTTAGCTAAAAGATAAGATCTGTGAAGGAAGATTTTTTTTTCAGGAGATCTTAGGTGGACAATTGCCCATTCGCTGACATTGAAAACATTTTCTTAAAAAAAAAAAAAAAGCAGTGTCTGATTAACTGCTTATTTTAATAGCCCACAATCAAATCTGCTGGAAAACACAATTTTTCTTTTTTACTTTTGCTTTCAATCTGAGCAGGCTGGAAACCACTATTACCCAAGCAACACCTTCAAATTGGGGAAGTCAATAAATTAATTTATATGTTAGTTGGTACCCAGTCAATCCCACTTAATTCATCAAAGTGTCTTTACAGAATATTCTTAGAGCTCTCTGACGTTCACAAAATGGTGCTTTCATTTAATAAGGACAATGTAAGTCTCTTGTTTTGAACTAGCATGAGAGAAACTGTTGGAGAAATTTAGCATCTTATGGGACTGGCAGAGAATTAGGGTTCCTTTCAATTAAACTCTCAAAAGTATTTTGGATTACAATGCTGGCTCTTAACACCTTTTGTCTCCATTCTGTGAGCCTAGAGATTTCTTTCCCCTGTATGCTTTTTCTGCTTTATAAACCCCACTACCTATAGCATTTCTTAGGGCCCTCTTCACCTTCAGACTTGCTTATATGGTAGGATGTGATCTCTCCAGCCATCCTCTTGTCCTCCCAAGCAACATGGAAGCCATAAAGGGATAACAATGTCACATATACAGAGAACAGTTATACATTTCACAAAGTTCTTGTAATCAGTGTCCTTGCTTTTTTTCTTTGAAGGTACCCAGAAGCCCCAGAGGTTTCCTGCTCTCTTTTATCTGTGAGGGTGGTACTCCTTACTGCTTATAGGATAAGGCACACTAATTAGTGTAGCATTGAAGGCCTTTTATAAGCAGAATAAGGTCTACCGCTGTACTATTGTTATCTGCCACTCATTTTCCAGTCTATACAAACTGTCTGGTCCCATCAAATGGTCTACTAATTGTTCCCCCCCAAAAAAACTGTTTTCTTTCTTGTTTCCTGCTCTTTGTTCACATTAATTCCCTCAAGCTCTCTACCCTTTCTAAGTCTTACCTTTTGTAACCACTGGGCCCCTTGGAGCAGAATGGCTCCCTCCTCGGAACTCCCTCCTTGTAGTTCTCAGCTACTTCTCTGGATTTAACACATGGAAGTACATGTGTACGCATGCGTACCTAAAGGCAAACACGTTTTTTTTATCCTTAAGTCTAACACAGAGCTACACACTCAGTAGGTACTCAGCAAGTATTTAGATTTACTGCTGGTGCCATGTTTTTGGAACCTCAACTTTCCTTCGCTAGGTAATGTTTATTAACGTGAATGAAGCATTGCTGAGATTTGCTTAGGTTTTTAAAAAGATGATGCTGATGACTCAGTGGCAGGATCTTTTTGCACAAAATTAATTTCAAACACACTTGCACTATCCTAGCAACACACATGTCACAAGGGGAAATAGCCACCACGCTCTTCAGATTATACCAAAATTTTAGGATTTTAGAAGCAAGTCTCTCTCACCTTCTCTCCCTCCCTCTTTCTTTATCCTTTCCTTATTTCCTTCTGTTAAGGTGATTAAACACCAGAATTAGCTACAGAGGAACAATTGTTGAGAAAATTGGAGGTAGACCGTGTATTCAAAGGAAAACTGAGAGACAAAGTACATGGGGGGGGGGAGGTTTAAGTGAGGAATTTGGCACTTAGCCACAGAAAACAGGAAGGATAAAACTTGGTTGCTCTCTGTCTCTCTCCCTTCAGTTTTTCCTCCCTCCCTCCCTTCCTTCCTACCCCCTCACAATCTCTCCATCTCTCTCTTTCTGTTTGCCCCCACTACTTATTTTATACCTTTTGCTCTCAAATCTGCTTCCCCGGTTGAATAAGAGCCCGTGGTAGGTGGGGCTCCTTCCTGGCTATCTAGCGGGCCAATAAAATAAAGACTGCAGATGTTTTTTCTCTGTGAAGGGATTGGAACAGTTACTGAATAACTGTTTTTCTGTTAATGTAGATATATCTTTAGTCGGATAAAGACACAAATAGGCCAACAGCTTTAGCTCTGATATAGTGTACTTCCCCCAGAAGAATGTGGGGTGCTATCTCATGGGTTGTTGGGAAAAGACAGACACATTCAAGTGGCCGAAAAGGAGCTAAATGAGTAGAAAAAAATTGTATGAAAGTCACTGAAGGGAAAATACAAAAATAAAGGTGTTAAAGAGACACTGAATAGGAAGCAAGTGTGGAAATGTGTACGTGATTAGATTCTTCGAGAAATGTGGCACAAAAAGGCTTCAGTCCTAGAAATAGTGGATCACTTATAGATAATTTACTTATAGAATAATTTAGGAGCTGAGAGTGATAGTGCACTCCTGAGGTCCCAGCTATTCAAAAGGCTGAGACAGGAGGATCACTTGAGCTCAGTATTTTGGGGCCAGTCTGGGCAACACAGCAAGATCTTGTTTCTTTAAAAATCAGTTAAAAATTATTTTAGGCATTTTACACCAGGAATCTGTATTTTTAATAAGTGCTTCTACTGATCTTAAGATCATGTGAGCTCAGGAGGTACGCTTGAGAGATAGTGGAAGTTTCAATGGGTGCAGGAACAGTGCTAAGTGATTTCACTTGTGCCACAATTGATTCAAAGATTGAAGAGGGGGAAGAAAAGTCTGAAACTTAAAATTTGGTAATAAATTATTATATTTAGCTTTTGCCCCTCTTACTCCCAAAATTATTTAAGGTAGCAAAGCTCATAATTTAGCAACAAAAATATTCTGCTTACTGTCAGCTTGAAACATTAGATATAATTTCTCATTTAACACTCACAGTGATCCCATTAGGTAGGAACCATTACTGTTATGTCTATTTTACAGATGAGGAAACTGAGACTCAGAGGTTAAAATAAGCTGGAATCTAGGTAGGTGTAAGCCTCTACTCCTGTTTTACTACAGTGATTACAAACACCAAAACGAACCAACAAGACCAAAAATGACAACAAAAAAGCATAAATAAGGAAAGAAATTTGCGTGAAGAGAAACAAAGGAAGAAAGTGTGTGAAGCTAGACTGAATTCCTGTGCAGGGTTTAGAAAGGGACCCCAGTGCTTGACTTGGCAGCATGTATACTAACAGTGAGATGACACAAGAAGTTTGGCATGGTCCCTGTAGAAGGGTGACACATAAATTCCTAAAGCATTCCATATTTTACTAAGTGAAAACAAATGTATGAATATATTTTGTAAAAGTAATACAAATGCAGGACTGGGAGTGTAACTCAATGAGAGTATTTGCCAAGCATGCGTGAGGCCCTGGGTTCCATCCATAGTACTTCAAAAAATTTCAACAAGTAAAGAAATGCTTTCTTAAAAGTGGGTCACAAATTTGACTCTGAGCTTCCCAACAGCTGAAGAAAGAAAGAAAGAAAGAAAGAAAGAAAGGAAGAAAGAAAGAAAGAGAAAAAGTCTGAATTAAGAACATCTATAATATAAAACCAAACCCACTGTTTAGAAGCATAATAATTTCTGGTGGAATTTCCTGACATAGATGTCTCCTGGGGATCCTGAAAAGGAGGAGAAATGCTTCTCTTGATTGGATTTTTTCAAAGGACTTTACTGTTTATAATTTTTTTTAAAAGAAATTGGGAAAGCAAATGTTTAAAAAAGGAAATAATGTAAGTATGGATTATAAACTTACTCCTCCTACAGTCCATCCTTGTAGTAGTAAACTAACCAGATGTGAGGTTTCTAACCAGATGTGAGGTTTCTATCCTTGAGATCCTAAGGAAAAGGGAGTCTATTCCTTGACTGGGATGCCTGAAGGCAAGGACACACTTTAAGGGGGCCCCTTCCAACTCCTGGCATTCTCTACTGTAGTAGTTCTGCAAACATTTCTACCTGGGGCAGCTTAACTGGTCTTAAACCTAAAGACTCAGCCGGCTTGGCCATGAATGCTTCCATTGTGGGAATCCTTTCTGATAAAATAAATGTTTGAAAAACACACAAACGCACAATAAAACAAAATCTCTACAACATTTGGGATTAAGACACACCCAAGTAAGACATTCACAGAAACAAAAGTTGCACTCAGTCAACACTCCGCGCTGGGGATGGAGAGTTGCACTTAGGCACCACTCATTTGGCTGAGTGCATTTGCTGAAGTCCTTTGTGTCTTAGATGTCAAAGAAATCTTTTCTAAGGGAGCCATCAGCACCACCTGGGGGTGATGTTTTAAGCCTAATGTGGAAAAGAGAGTTTCTCTAAAACTTCTTACATAATTAACACGGTCGAATGCCTTTTATGACAAAGCATGGGGAGCGCAAATAAAATTCTCTTCAGGAGGAGAGCCCACCCCCCAACATTTTAAAAAATTTTTCCTTAAATCATTTCTTAGCAATGTAACCTGAGCAAAGAACTTTCCCATTTTGGGGGGATGAGAGGAAGAAGCTGAGGGAGACATAGCTGTGCAGTTTAACAGACTCACTTCATTATGAATTGGGTCAAATGGCTTAGAGGAGGTTTCCTCGCTGTATGTAGCGAGACTGAAACCCATCAAAGGTGAGCATCGAATTAACATCACAGTGTGCATTAGGAAATGTTAGGAGGCGATAGCTAACGCAAGCACATTTGCCTTTTGGATTCTGAATCTTTGGCCTTGGACCTGGCACAGGACATCAGGAACAAGGCACACAGGAAGCTTCTCTAAGAAAGGATGGAGATGGGTCTCTGGGTCCCTGTCATCCTTAGAATAGAAGGTGTCACCCTTTGGAGTGTTTGATGGACTGCTACTCTAACAGGTTTTTCCCTTTATAAACAGAGTCTAGCCACTTTGGCCTTATCTACTTGATTCTAAAATAGCTCGTCAATTTAATAGCATTCAGGTTGTTTATGCACACACAAGGCCCTTTGAAAATAACCCTTTTCATGTCGCCAAACAGGCATTTTGAAATCAACTAATTGGATGGTTGTCTGAATTCAACTCGTTGTTTTAAAAATAACCAGTTGTTCCACTGAATTACATTTTTTTACCCCCAAGCCAATTGGTGTGTGTAGACAGAGTTTGAGTCAATCCAGATGGCTGGCTGCATTTTTGACTTGAACTGACTGGATGTTTTGTGGTCAGATATATACAGCTCTTGATAGCCACTGGGGAAATGGAGTAGAAGGGAAGGAAGGTGTAGGAAAGTTAGGAGAAATTATATCTACAAATGTTTCCATCTTGAGTGCTGTGGATCCAGACATTTTCTGCAATCAATCCTCCCTCTCCTTCAAAACACATTTGTAGTTACACACGCACACACATGCATGCACACACAGACACACACACACAAGCATGCACACACAGTTAAGAAAACAGAAATAAAGTAATAACATCCCTCCCAGCTGGCTCTGCTCATAGCTGTGGGTTCTTTCTTTCTTTCTTTCTTTCTTTCTTTCTTTCTTTCTTTCTTTCTTTCTTTCTCTTCATGAATTTCTTCACTGCATGGGTGGCCTGTGGAGGATTCTGGCAACTCGGCTACATGGGTTTAGCTCCCTATTAGACTGACTTTTCTTTCCTGTGGGGAGTTCTCCTTTGAGGGGCTCAGTGTTCTGTTCAGTCTGCCAAAGAGGCAAGGCAGGAAGAACAGGGCTTCGCTCAGACCTATACCCCCTCATTCTAAGCATAAGACTGGACTCTGACCCATGGACCTACTTTTCCCGAGGGAAATGGTGAATTTCCTGTAGTGAATGTTACAGCTTCTCCCTACCCAGGCATTACTGCTAAACTCTGAGAAATTCCGAGTTTTATATCATCTATAGTTCCTGTAATTAGCTGTCAAATTTCACTGACCCAAGGAAGTGAAATTCAGATGCTTTCAAAGGCCACTTCTTTCTGGATTTACCATGTTGATTTCTTCATTTACCTTACTGATAACAGGAGGAAGATAGAACAGAGACAGACTTTCCCTGGACAACTTACAGTTAACATTTACAAAGAAGAAAAGTTTCTAAAACATTTGAAATGGAAATGCAAGGGTGATTTCTAAAATGCTTGCCATTCCCCCCACAAATTCTGAGTGAATTGTGTGACACAGTCTCTTTTCTGTTGTCCACACTGTACTTTTTCTGTCTGTGCAAAGATCATTGTACTAAGTCAAGAACACAAGAAATATTCTCAACCTTGGCCCTGACTATGTTGTCCCCAATTTTTCTCCCATCTAGTAAATCCCAAATTGGCATGTTTTTTGTAATGTGTCATTTCTCATGCCTCATTCTTTAAGGCAAGTATTGATTCCCCTGAGCCTTCCAAGCACATCTGGATAGTATTCAAAAGTTTTTGCCTATGACATTTAGTTTTGGAAGCACTGCCACATGATTTGTTGGAATTCTTTTTGTTGTTGTTAGACTTGAGGTATGGTCTTGTCTTCATTGCTGACTTGTTGTGTGACCTTGAAATCATCACGTTTCCTCTCTGAATTTCAGGGTCTTCTTCCTCAATACTATGGGAATAATAATGCTTGTGTGCCTGGATCATTTAATGGGGTTGTTGGAAAGAACAGCCTAAATAAGTCATAAGAAAGGCTTTTGTGAGAAGTACAAAGTCTTAAACAAATGTAAGAGATTCTAAAAGGAGACAATTCAACTAGGGTTTTTAAGTAGTTCTGGAGACTCAGGCCCTTCTTGTCAGATAAAGGGTTTATATTGTGCATCACTATTACTGCAATTTCTTTTTATTATCAAAGCACCCCAAAAGAGTAAATTCTAAACAAAAATGCTATGAATGTATGTAATGCCTCACTTTTAAGATGTAATACTAACGCCGTATTAGAAAGAGAAAGGAAACCTGGTGGGCTTTACAAAATTTATAGTATCAGTGATACCATGAATGTGTTAAAGTGCATCAGCAATATCAGCAGGCAGTCGTGAGTTCGATCCCCGGTACCAATAAAAATGGAAAAGCAATATTGGAAGGATAGGAACTAAACTATTTTTTGTGACAGTAGGCAATTGCGTCCTCCATTCTTTGGCTCTTTCTCTTGAACTGAGAGTTTCTTATCCTTGAGCGGTGTACGAATATTTGATAAGCCTCAGATGGTTTAAAAGCATACAGAATCCTGCTTTGTATTTTCATTTTGTACAGTTACCCACATATGATTAAGTGACCTTTTGCCAGAGGAGCAGTTGCACAAAAGATGAAGTTTCTCTTCCTTATGTGGAATAAGTGGTTTCCTTCCATACGTAAACTATCATCCGAGAGACTGGCATTGCTTCCGGTTTTCGGGGAATCATTGGCCTTTTTCCTCTGAAGTAGAGTCACTTCATTGCCTAGCATCGAGATGAAGAAAAGGAAAGTAAATATGACATGATATTTCACAAGGCAGTAATTAGAAATGGTATGAGTGTATGTGAATATGACGGTGAAGTTTAAAACTCGGGTTGATCTGACTGCAAGCTCAAGTTGGAAAAACTTTTTTTTTCAGAAGTGAATTTGAGCTCCTGTAGTTACATCCAGGAAATACGAGTCATTACTAAGGCTGGGAATTGAGCGTAAGGCCAAAACTAAGGCTGGAAATGTAATTGTAACTGGGGAGGCCAAAAGGCAGAGGTTAAGCCCTGGGAAATGGAAAGGCAAATGGGTGTCTGGGAATTCCTGGGTCTGTGGCAGGTCTCCGGCTGCATACAAGCCATCGCTGAACGCTACTTAGCCCTTATGATCCTCCACACGGGCTTGTTTTAAGGTGCAGCTGCAGGAAGGTTGAGCTAGAGGCCAAAGTGTGAAGCCAAAGGAGACCCTCTGAGAGTGCACACCCCCTTCAAATCTGCACAACTGCAAACCCTTGATAATCTGCCATCCCCCAAAGCTGGCATTGTGGTAAGCCTGAAAATGAACTCCCAAGTAAAACCTCAAGATCCCAGTTATGCCTGATTACTCTAGTGGTTAAAAACAAATCCAGTCCTCATCACTATATAACCGGTACTTAGAATACAGTGACTGTAATAACTGGAGTTAATAAATGGATAATAAGTGAGTGGGTAAATAAAATACTACTGGTTACAATAAACAAAAACAAACTTGGTTTGATGGCTTTGAGACAAATGACCTGCAGGGTAACACAATAATACGAGTTACTGAAATGTGCTAGACACTTTGTCTGTGTTATTGTTAGTGGTTTCAAAGACTGCAAAGTTGTATGTTTGTAGCATATGGAGAAGCTGAAAGAATTTTACAAT